GTTAGTACCGGATTCCTAACTCATTTTGAATATATGGGTAAACAGGATTCTTTGGGTTTATCCTGTTTGGGACTTGCGCTGTTCGTTGTTGTCATTTTGTTGTTGTTTTGTTTTGTTTGTTTTTCTAAAATATGTAAGTGTGTTTCTCTTGCCAAATTCAGGAAGGTTCCAGCAGTCATTTCTTCATATGCTTTTTCATCCTCACCTCCCTTTTCAGTTCTTCCTGGGACTCTGATCTCATGAATGTTCAATCTTCTGTTATAAGCTCACAGGTCCCTGTTTCTTTCAGTATATATATATTTTTTATTATGTCATATACACATAGACCCTGAATACATTTACTCAATATGTGCGGTACAATGTGTGTTTTTTTTTTATACAATTTGACTTGCTTACATCAAATTAATTAATATAGCTTTTGCCTCATTTACTTGATTATTTTGTTAAGACATTTATGTTCTACACCTGACAGATTTGACTTGTACCCTTGCAATATGCTCCATAGGTGTGGTCCTGCCGTTTACCCTCCCTCTATCAAACCTTCCCCCTCCCCTCCCTTCCCACTCCATTTCTCTCCTTCGTCCTGGCTATAGTTGTGATCTATCTTTCATAATAAAATGTGGGTAAATATAAGTTGGTTTCATAGAAGTACTGAGTACATTGGATACTTTTTCCTCCATTCTTGAGATACTTTACTCAGAAGAATATGTTCCAGATCCCTCCATGTAAACATAAAAGAGGTAAAGTCTCCATATTTTTTAAGGCTGCATAGTATTCCATGGTGTACATATACCACAGTTTATTAATTCATTCATGAGTCGATGGGCACTTGGGCTTCTTCTGTGACTTGGCTATTACAAATTGAGCTGCAGTGAATAATCTGGTGCAGTTATGTTTTTTGCAAAGTGATTTTTGGTCTTTTGGACATCAGAGAAATCAGTGTATTTTTTTCTCTGTTTTTCAGATGGAGTAATTTTTATTGTTCTGTCTTTAAGTTTATTGATTCACACCTCTGTTTTTTCCACTCTGCTGTTGAGCCTATCCATCAAGGCCTTACTTTAATTATTGCATCTTCAGTTGTAAAATTTCCATTTAGTTCCTTTCTACATTTTCTTGCTGAGGCTTTCTATTTCTTGTTTGTTTTAAGCAAGACTGTAATTGCTTGAGGAGCTGTTTTTACCATGACTATTCTAAAATCTTTCACAGCTAATCCTGACATCATTGTGTTGGCATTTATCTATTGTTTCTTTATATTCAATTTGAGACATTCATGGATTTTGGTATGAAGTGTAATTTACTATGAAAAGTTGGACATTATATTTATATTTAGGTAGATGAAAATGTAAAATTATGAGTGTGTCATTTTCCCAGAAGTGGAATTCCATAATTATGATATTTTTTTAAAACATGTATATGTTTCCCTTTATGAAGACATATGTAATCAAATTATTTATCAGAAATTAGTATAAATATATATGTAATACTTTCAGATATATAGAACATTTTCAAAAGATAGATGTACATATGTACATCTTCACCCATGTATGTATGTATATATTGTAGGTATATATTTAACTTTTAAAAAACCATACAATAGTACTGATTTTAGATTTTTAAAAATGATTTTATCATTTTTTCTATCCTTAATCTCACATAAAATTGCTCATTAACCAAAATGTTAGGAGAGTTGGCAATATAACTGAATTTTATAATATTTCATTTTAATCTTTTTAAATAAACAATTGTATCAATTTCACCAAGTATTCTTTGAGACATACAATTTATTTTAAGAAAAGAAAAATTCTAATTTATGGCATTTTCAAGCTTCAGTGCCATTGTTTAGAAACAATTGATTATTATGTCTTTAATTGATTATTGTGTCTTTAAAACATAACTAAGCATAACTACTCAAATCAGATTCTTTTTAGTTAAGCTATCTTCTAGGGAGAAATCTTTGGGGGATTATTTTTAATAGCCATTTCTATGTTTTTCGCATCTTTGTGTTCTATACCACTTATTTATATGAAAACATAATACTGGAAATATAATTATTAAATTGAAAATAGAAGTGATGTGATTTCCTAATTGTAGTAGACTAGAGTATTAAAAGATATCCAGGCCAGGCATGGTGGCTCACTCCTGTAATCCTAGTACTCTGGGAGGCCAAGATGGAGGAGGTCAAGACCAGACTTAACAAGAACGAGATCCTATCTCTACTAAAAATAGAAAAACTAGCCAGGTGTTGTGGCAGGGACCTGTACTCCCAGCTACTCTGGGAGCTGAGGCAAGAAAGACTGTTCAAGCCCAAGAAGTGAGGTTGCTGTAAGCTATGACACCATGGCACTCTCCCCAGGGTGACAAAGTGAGACTGTCTCAACAACAACAAAAATCTGTACTTTTTCTACATGATAAGCTTTTCTTTTCTGATTCTAAAACACTGCTACTTTATTTAAAAAATTCAACAGTATTATCTGTAGCGTTTCCCACATTAAAGTCTTGTGATGCTCCTGCCTGACAAATGATACTTTTCACATTCCTAGTGAAGGGCCAGTCTTTCACATTCTCATCTGCCTTAGGATTCTGGTTCTGAAAAGAATCTCAGGCGTTATCTTATATAACTTACACATGAGTGCAATAACTCTATGCCATACCAATCTCCACCCAGTAAACTTTGTATACTTTTGAAAAAAAATAGTAATTTATCTCCTCTTGTAAAAGTACCAATGACTAGGTAATAGGCTATGCATAATTGTCATGGCCATTGACACAAATATTTTTTTCATTGACACAAAATTTTAAGAAAATGTACAAACTAATATTATGATTTCATGTTTTCTTAATTCCTCTTATCAGTTTGTATAGTTAAAACATATTTTCTGCTGTTGCGGTGGCTCACACCTGTAATTCCAGCACTTTGGGAGGCTGATGTGGGTGGATGCCCTGAGCTCATGACTTCAAGACCAGCCTGAGCAAAAGCAAGACCACATCTCTAAAAAAAAAATAGCCAGGCATTTTGGCAGGCACCTGTAGTCCCTGCCAGCTACTCTAGGGGCTGAGGCAAGAGAATCACTTGAGCCTAAGAGTTAGAAGTTGCAGGGCAACACCTGTTGCTCAGTGAGTAGGGCGCCGGCCCATATACCAAGGGTGGTGGGTTCAAACTCACCCCAGCTGAACTGCAACAAAAAATAGCCAGGCATTATAGCGGGCTGAGGCAAGAGAATTGCCTAAACCCAGGAATTGGATGTTGCTGTGAGTTTTGTGTGATACCACGGCACTCTACTGAGGGAGATAAAGGGAGAAAGAGTTAGAGGTTGCAGTGAGCTATGACTGCAAGGCACTCTACCAGGTATGACAAAGTGAAATTCTGTCTCAAAAAAAAACAACACATGATTTCCTTTACTGATCTCATCAATGGCTTCATGAAAGGGGTAAAGAGTAATGATAGCTGATTTTAAATTATCACATCTTTATTTATAGAATAATGTCCACTCAGTATCAGTACTCAGCCACATAAGAAATCATAACCACACTGAAACTTACATAATTTAATTCACATAATAAATGTTTCCCTATTAAGCATTGTAGGCCTACTCATTGCTCTCGGGATGAATTGCAAACTTCTTACCAGCCTTCTAAGACACTTTTAGAGACCTTCACTTCCTTCTTATCTTTCATTCTAACCAGGCCATGCTCATGACACTTCCATGCCCACATGCAATTTGTTTCTTTAGTCTAGAATGTTTCCTGTATCATGGCAACCTCAACTCAGGCCATCACCTCCATATTGCCTTTCCTGGCCAGTTCTTCCTTGGTGGGATGGAGGCAGTTCCCTATTTCTACACTGCACCTAACCTATAGTGACTTCCTATCTTAATGCCAAGGACTCTACATTGCCACTATATAATTACACGACTAAATTTTTTGAAGGCAGAACTTGTTGTCACATTTACTCCACCCCTTCCTACCTTTTTTTTTTTTTTTTTTTTTTTTTAGTGTTGCAGAGCTAGGGGCCTCACAAAGTCTTCAGTGTTCAGCAGCTGCTGATGCATCTCAGGTTGTGTTCTGATTATGGAGCTTTAGGTTGGGAAAAGGATTTTTTAGCCCCTCTCTACACTTCTCAACAGGATTTTCAGTAAATCCAGGAGGCCTCAACCACTTTATTACTTGCTCTAGAATTCTAAAAAAATAAAGTAACAAGAATACCTTTTAATTAAATCTAGTTATTTAGTTTGTTAGTATACATTGACAATATACCTAATTGCATTTGAAAGTGATTTCAAAAGTCATAGTTAGGAGTTTTGTTCCACAATGCCTTCCTCATCCCATAGTTTTCTTGATTGACCCACCTCCTTAGCTGTAATCATCTGTGCCTTGAATGATCTGGTCCCAGTCATAGCATGACATAACACAATTATGAAAGAACGCTGGCCTTTGTAACAGGTATGTCATTGAAAGCAGACACTTGAATACTGCATGTCTCCCAAAGTGCTTAGATAAGAGAAGTAGTATAGCTATATAGTTACTCTATATCTGCAAAGGTGAAAAGGCCACAACAAATATTCTCCCTCACTTACATAAAGAAATAGTATACTTAAGACTAGCCTACTTCTACCCTTAAGTTGAAGAATAAGACACATCATTTTGTTATTTTATTTGTTAAAATACTACATATGTTTATTCAAAATCCAATATGGAAACATCTCAATGTCATCATTACTTGTTATGATGCTCTTTTAAAGTCAATATTTAAGTAAAGTTATAGTTACTCATGCAAAAGCAAAGCCTTTTATTTCTTCATCCATTCTTCTTTTACCATAATGAATGAATGGCGTTAAGGCAGGTCCCTTAACCATTTTACATTATTCTTTCAAAAAAGTTCTTAGTATTACTAAAGATTACCCACTTTTTATTGCAGCTCATATACATTGTTATATTACAGTAAGATTAATATCTACTTAAATAAGTGACCTAGTGAAAAATTTCCTTTTCACTTGAAACAGAAGGACATGGAAGAACTCGATGGTGTGCTTACAGCCATATTCAAACAGGAGATACCATATTACAAGTTCCAATCTCTTCAAACTGAAATCTGCTCTCAAAAAGAATGTAAGTGCTTTACGACTGCATAAATTATTCTTTATGCCTGTATCATATCCCATTGTATATGACTCTTAAATAAGTATAATATCCAAGAATATAGCTAGCTACAGTACTGATTAAATTATTTGGACACTTGAAAGGGTACAGTAGTACAAACTTCTGCAGGTCTATTTGGTAATTTATTCTTTATAATAGGTTATAAAAATGTGCAAAACTGCAATTAGCAAACCTACTTCCTGATTTATATTGTAAGGAAATGTTTGGGCAGGCACATTTATAACGGAGATTATTTATGATATCATTTATAATTACTAAAAAATAGAAGTAACTTAATCTTCCAAAGATTAGTAATTGTTTTTATAAATTTTGATACTTTTTAAAATGCACCACCAGAAATTAATATTATAAAAAATTTATTTGCTGGTATATATGTGTGTATATATATAATGCATATGATATATATCATATTTTGATATATACTTAATTCAACAAAAAGCAGGCTATGTAGCAGATGAATATTATTCAAGATAACTTTTTAATGAATGTTATTCAAAGGTAACTTTCCGTTTTTATTTTATTTAATCTGTATTTTCTACAATGACTATTTTTTGCATAGTAAAACGTATACAAATATCAATTAAAGAATATACAGTGTGGTCATATGTTTATGTACAATTTTAAGTTGCACATTATCTTAGATTGTACATGAACTTTATAGCCACCCTGTATAGATGCTAAGAATGAAAGATTATATTTCCAAGTATAATCACGGGTTCAGCAGTGTACTTGAGAAATTTTCTGTTCCTGCATAGTTTGTTGAAATACTGTTTAGAATTCATTTATATGCCCAGGATGTGCGAAACACCAGGGTAGAGAGGTAATGCTTAGTAAGACAGGAATGGAGCAAAGAATATGAGAAGTCTGGTGTTGACGTATTAAGGACTAACAAGCAGGGTTTTTTTCTTTTTTTAATGTAGAGTTTATGTGCTATTTAAAGCTGTTTATCATCAGCCTGGCAGGCTTCAAGGCAACAGTAAAAAAAGAATAAGAGTGTTAAGGCACAGTGATTGTGACCCCTAGGTATGTGAGATGCTGAGTAATGGTAAGCTTCCAGTACTGGGAAAACCCAACCACATGCTAGTTTTGAGTAGTGATCTTGTGAGATTAGTGAAAATGTATTGTTATTATTATATATCTTTTAACAATATGTAACTTGCTAAATTAGGTATTAGCTTAGGATAGAAAAGGAATGTGACATGAGTCCTCAAGAAAGATGCTTACAATTTGGGGAAACGAGATAATATACATGTAATAATAGAAAGAAACAATGTGAAGTGGCCATATTGCCATAAGAATTTTAGATAGAAGATACATTGTTTTTCAGGAGATGCTTCATAAAGGAGGTGAGATATTACCTAGGTCTTAAATGATGGGTACCAATGAGGATGAAGAAAAGAAAAAGGAATTATAGGCAAGAGAAAGTGCATGCAGGCTCGGCGCCTATAGCTCAACCGGCTAAGGCGCCAACCACGTACACCTAAGGTGGCGGGTTTAAATCCCCAGCCCGGACCCGCCAAACAACAATGACGGCTGCAACCAAAAAATAGCCGGGCGTTGTGTGGCGGGCGCCTGTGGTCCCAGCTACTTGGGAGGC